CTTACATAGTGGATGCTGTTTTTTGGAACTTTGTTCTGTTAGCAACCTAAAATGGTAAATAAATAAATAAATAAAATAAATAAGTATGGTGTATACATACCATTAGATTTATTCTATCTCAAACTTGTATCATTCATTATTCGTTGCTGAGATATGGCCGAAAGCCGATCTTAGTTGTTCACCCGGTATATGCACATAATATCATTCTGAATATTCAACATAAAACAACTGCTTTCCTGGCTATTTGCCAAGTCGAACATTGAATTATATGTTGAATATCAAAAAGTAGAGCATGAAAAATAAAAATCCTCTGAAATTGACAATTGTCATTCTATCTCCAATCGGATAAATAATATGATGTATAATGATATAAAAATATAACTTACTAATATGATCAGTATTGAAATGAAAATTGAAATGTATTGCTTTTATTTACGCATCGAATCATTATGATGTCACACTTTATTGGGACACCCTGTATAATCGAAATTATTTTCCTGGTATGCGCCCTATGATACAATTGAAGTTCTGCAAAATATCGAAATCCTGACTCAACTGATAACTGAGCTATAGAAGACGGGAGGTGAGATGCAGGACCCTGTATAGTGTATAGGTACGATTTCCATTAAAAATTCGAAATTTTGTCTGAATTTCAATTTCACTGACATTTTCTTGATATGACAACACTGAATTTCACAGAACCTTGGCATTCTGTGAAATAACATAGGCTTTATTCCGAATTCAACTGACAGTACTGGATCAGCTAATTTTTCATTCCAAAATTTAAAAAAAATCACGAAAGTGACAGATACTTGTGAGTATAAATAAATACTATTCGCGCTGGAAAATAAGCGTACGCCACCTATCGGAGTTTTTGAAAGCTGTCAAAGCGGTCTGTTTACTTTGTTTTCATTGGTTCTCGCATTTGTTTTTTATTTGTGCTTATTGGTCACATACTTCAAAACAAACCACTCAAAAGTGTTGAAATGTCGCCGTCAGGTGGGGCAACGTGTTATTTTCTATCACGAGTCCATTCCAAATATTTCGACTCAACATTCTGCTGAAATTGCTGACTATCAATAGGTAGTCAGTGAACTGTCATTCTTTCAGAGGAGGGAGGAATGTGTCTTATCAATGATAAATTAATAACTCGATCAATAATATCAATTTTGATATCAGATAATGCCTGTTATTTAAATAATTGGACAGATAAACGAAATACTACAGGAGTGACAACCTGACAACTGACAGATTCCACCAGCTAGTCAACGTGTTCCGAATTACAGCTCTATGTTTTATTTTATTTTTCGGATCCCAGATTTTCAGCAGAGTTAAAGTCGTGACACAATGTGGAGGAATTGAGAATACAGAATAAAAAATAAGAAATGCAGGTCTACTATTGGTCATTAGATTGGTCACTTCTAACCTTGAACGCGTTTTGAACCAATCATACTGCTATTCCTTATTCCTTGTCCTTATTCTTTTGCATTGTGTTTGGAACTTCAGTGGATCTACTGACAGTACTGACCAGTTGAATTCGGAATATAGCCATAATCGTAAATGTGGCCAATATAGAAAAACAAATAATGATATCCAATATGGGCAATATGCCAAAAGCAGCGCTCAGCGTGAAATGGTCAATTCAGATTCATGGTTGCCGTGACAACGTGGTCTTACCGTCTCGAAAGAAAGAATAAGCAGCGTACTATCCTATCCACGAGGCACACCATTCTGATTGGTCCTTATATCGCTGGAGATGACAGTTTCATATGAGTACGTCGTGGAATTGTCTATGAAGGAGTTGATTTATCATTATTTTTTTCATAGAATGCGAAATATCAAATCCTACATCGGCTCATACCAAGGACCAAGGACTCTAACTCAATAAATAGTAAAGTAAAAGTGGGTTAATTATATCGATTACTACGATTACATGAGGATTATTTAGTATAATAGTTATTAGGGTCATTCGAGTACCCACTACTGATTCACTCTGAAGAAAATCAATGTGAACATGTCAACATAGATTCATCAGAGAATCTCTATAGGCGAAGAATAAATCAGAATCGATTTCTGGTAGAACACATATCAGTCGTTTCTATAAATGGAGTGGTGTAAAGAAAACCTCCAAGTTCAGGGCCGGATCAATACAAAATGTCGTCCCACGGGAGAAAGTGAATACTTTTTTCCTGGATATACCGGGTGACACAGGAGAAATGTAACATCGTGTGGTTTTTTTTATTTGAAGAGATGAAAATTTGAAGGCTTAGAAATCCAAAGATCATTACTTAGACGATATTATCAGAATATTTTCCCTACCCAAATCGTTCCTAGAAGATTGCCAATAATTTCAGTTTAAAATAATCATCCGAAACTAACTCACGATATTAGGACGATACATACATCACTTTTCCAAGTCCGGCTCTGGAATTTGTCTTCCATAGAGGGCCATCGTGTGTTGTTTCAGTAGAGATAAATTGCTGGAGAGTTTCAGGCGAAAACATCAAGACGGTCCTGAAATATCGTTCATCAAAGTTTCGCCCTGAATTCAAATAATGCCTTGTATTTCCGTTAGGAATTGGCAGAATATATTTTTTCACATATCAACTCACATTGACTTTCTATATCCGCCATTAGGCTATGACTGGTTAGTCATGACTCACCCTGTATAGGTTTGAAAAAATAATTGTAGAGATGATTGGGAGTTTTACTATTACTTCATCCATTTACTCCAGTTTGAGATACCATGAACTTCTACTACAGACTAATTAAATATCTATACAGAGCTGGAAAGATAGCATTAAATCCTTTATCCAAAATATGGCTTGTTTCCTGCATTATGCATCAGCAAATAGTTATTTATTATGCAAGGGAGACAAAAAACCGTGAGCTAAAATCTAATATTTTTCCCGTGTATAATACACTATTTTTTTCTGTGACCGAAGAACGGACGAATCAATATTGAGAAGATATTACATTATTTTGAAATCTGAAAATTATCGACGTGAAATTTCAAGTTTTTAACAGTAGGGACACCTGCGTTATAGGAATCTTTATCATTTTTGAAGTAATCAAATATCTGATGTCACTTCTGTCAGTCTAATTCTGTGATTTGATTTCAAATAATTGGGAATTCAGTGGTTGTTTACTATTATACGTAACCGCGAAGTCGAATGGAAGATAAAAGGACTTGCAGTTCTTTCTCGGAGACGGTATTATTGACTCATTTTTCGGAACTATAGACAAAAGCCATCAACAGTGTATATATACAGTATGATGCAAATGTATGGAATAAATTCATTATTTCAGAAATGGGCGACATTTGAAAAAATTCCAAAAACACGTGAGTTTTAATTTCTGAAGCCTCATCTCATGATATTCATATGAGAGATGTTACGTCACCGGTGTTGGAGTAAAGACGTAATGGACGATTTTTTCAAATACAAATAGGGGTCATGTGACACCTTGATTGAAAGGTCTACCGATCGTCTATTCAACAGTCAAAATGTTGCATAAGAAGATTGAAATTAAAATGGATTATCATGTGATTAATTGAATCTTGCAGAGGTCTGCTACTGAGAATTGAACATCGAAGGGTCGTCTAGTTAAAAAAATACGTCGAAAAAAAAGTTCTAAACTCTAGTTTTTGGTTTTTTTTCGAAAGTCGTCTTGTTTTGAAATGAATTTATTCCATACATTTGCATCATACTGTATATGTGATATATATCCGGGAAAAAAGTACTCACTTTTTTCCGACGGGAAAAAAGTAATTTATGAGAAGTGACATTTTATAACCTGCCAACAGAGATGAAATGCCAAACTTTTTTCCCCTCACAGAAAATAGTTATTTGTTTAACTAGGCAGCAAAGTAGTAGATTGACTGCCGAGGCTGAATTCATAGCCGAGCGTAGCGAGGCGAGGAATTCAGCTAAGGCAGTCAATCTACTTTGCTGCCGAGTTGAACATATAATTTTTTCTCCGATTGTTCATAATGATATAGGAGGATATTGTATTTGCAAATTATCACAATTCCCACAATCTCTTTATTTTTCCTGTAATTAAAATAAAATTTGATAGAAATCTCAGTTGTTGGAATGGTTGGTTGCTATGGAAATATCCATAATAATCATATAGTTTGACAATTCATGAAATTTCTGACAGTTGTGCAAAAAAATATCGGTATATATAAATTATTATATTATGGACAGTGATAGCGATCTGGAAGTACTTCCTCCTCCAGAAATAAGGGAGGTGGCAAAAAATATAGAGTTGAATTCGTTGCCGGAGAAGTCTTGGATGGAATATGAAGAAAATTATAAAGAAATTATGGATTATTAATTTTGCTGACACATATCAATCAGCAAAGTAACCATTTTGCTGCCTAGGCAGCAAAGTACCCACTTTGCTGCCTAGGCAGGAAAAGTAATACTTTGCTGATTGATATGTGTCAGCAAAATTAATATTTGCTGCCAATCGGAGAAAAAAAATATAATTCGTTCTTTATTGTAGTTCTTCTAGTTTGTTACAGTTGACTGGAAGGAGTGCCTATCTTGGTGCCTATGCACTGAAAAATGGAGAATTAAATGTTTCAGCTATCATCCCATCAGTTTGTCGAGGTGCATTCCGTTATCATTCATTCCGATTCATTCAATCATATTTTTTACTAAACGTGGTTTCGCCCATACAAGTTGTGGTCTGATAGTTTTAGTAGACGTAATTCTATGATATTATAAGTGGAAAATGGTCATTGTTATTGAAACCGCTGCTGAATGACAAAGTAGATCAGGCTGACATGAGTGTTATGAGATGAGACTTGGGCGCCGTGAAAAAAATTATTTTTCTTTATTGTAGCTCTACTTGTTCGTAACAATTGACCAAAGTACCAAATATTTTCGCCTGATTTTTCTTCCTTCAGTTGAATAATATACATAATATAGATAACGCATGTGTCCACCCTTGAACAGATACCCGGTATGTATGTTTTGAAACAAGTCACTCACCTCATGATCCCGGTAGAAGGGTTCTTTCAAATTTTCTGGAACTTTGTTATTGAAGGTTTTCGACAGAAGCCATTTTACTGCTGCCCTCTGCTTCGCCTGTAATAAAATTAATCACATTAGTCAATTTGCTATTTTAAAAACGCTGATGTCACTTAACCTACGGTTATTAGGTTGTTATTAAATAGATTATTTCGACAATGAAAGGATTGAACGCCTACTTTGTAGAAGGAATGACTGGAATGAGTGTTTCAAGGTACCCACCCAGATAAAGATGAAGTACCATAGTCCATTCCAACTTAGAAGACAGCATTGGCAACCATAGGAAAGCGTTGACCTTCGCTTTGATTGGTTAATATCGGAGGCAATATTACACTTGTCTATATTATGACATGTGACGTGACGTAAAGAATGAAGTTTTTTTTGTGAGGAGATGAACACATCATCATATTCCATTTATTTGTTGTATATCTTATACAGATTTAATCAAATGTATGGAACCAGTCGTTAGATCTTCCTGAATTTTTATACATGGTGAATTGAAAATGTGGCGGTTCGAAAAATTATATCGCCAATGTTGCCACGTTATCTGTTCTTCCGGAATTAATAATTATCAATTTCCTTATTTTAAATAGAACACCCTTACTTTGAAACGATTCGAGCATACTGGGAGTGTGAAGAATATTAGAAAATCAGGACGTCCGAAAACAGCAACTACGCCTGATGAAAAAGCATTAGATGTTGTAGTTTCATCCGTACCATAAGAATCAAAGCAAAAAATGTGCATAGAGTTTCCTTGGGAAAAAATATTTGAAAAGTTCATAAAATCAAGATTATATCCCGAGGCTTCAGCCGAGGGGTATAAGGTCCATTTCCAATCATTTCAGTTCTGTGAAACTGAAATATCAATATTTTGTCACTATGAAAGCACTCCTTTTCACTTTTGATTAAAATCTAGTACCTATTACCATGACAGCATATGACAAGCCGTTATTGATAAATACCTGAGTTAATTATAACAGAGGTGGCTATGTCTTTATTGACTAGTGGTTCATAAAATGACGAAAACTACCTTGTTTGTAAAACACACGTTACGCCTCGAAAAGGAGTAAATGATGGTAGGTTTTATAGCTAGTGGTGAAGAAACATCAATTAATGCTTTGTTTCTAAGGTCGGAATATCTAGAAACTATCTGAAAAATTAAATGTTTGTCTCTTTTTGAGGTATTTTTTGGAGCTACTGCAATCTATCCAATCTGTTGAATGTTTTCGTTTTGAACATATCCATACATGAACTAGAAAGCTACACAGACATTTTTGAAATTTGACTAAATTTTTTTCATGTTGAGTACAACAATACAGTTCAATACATTTTTTTCTGAAATGGTAACTTATACTGGCCCAAACAAAAAATTGGTAAGGAAATCTAATAAGGAGGGTGTTCAATTCGGTGTTCAATTAAACTAGACATCTTCAAACTTGTGGCAGAACTTTTTCAAGGCTGTTGAATTATTAAAGACTGGTGATGTGCCGGTAATTAGCAGTATGAAATAATGACCACGGTCAATTAAAAACGTGTCTGCGAGTAGCGTGGCCTGCTTGTCACAAATTTATCCAAAGTTCGATTGACTTTCTAGAGAAACTTGTTTCTTGTTTATTATTAGGGATCGTCTTCAATGCAGGATCGGCTTGAGAAAAATTCAGCGTCAGCTCAGCATTTCTTTCAGGTACAAATAATATTGTTTCGGAAATCAAGTGTCAATATGACGTAATTACTTAGACCAGGATTTGGGTGTAATTCATATGAATTAAATCAGTGATTTAATTCGTGAATTAATTCAAATGACTTTTTTTTAATGTCATGAATTGATTGAAACTTCCTCCAATGAGTACAAATCGCATTATTACTTTCAATATGAACTACAGAAATATACTGGGTGGGTTGGGAGAAACAGACCAAACTACAGGTGTGTATTGTACAGGTATAAATAATTTTAAAAAACCCATATGTTCTTATACGATTCTCATCTGTTTTCATTCTGAATTTGAATAGATGTGTGGCATTTTATAAGACTTCGTATAATCGTACAAACTCGAAAATAAACGCGACAAACACACTGACACTGACACGAACAATATAAGAACAACAAAACAGATGAAACAATCGAGTTCGGCAGGTTCAAAGTTCCTCTTTTAAAGTGAATGAACGTGCGGCTCGAGGCGGGCCAATTGCAAATTATGCATGGAATATCGAAAAATCCATCAATTCATCACTTAACACATGAGAGCTTTTATTTGGCCAAAGTAAACTTTAGATTTCAATGAGAATTTTGATGTTAGGCAATTATACGAAAAAAATTGCCATCCACAATGACAATGAGGTGCGTAGGCGCGTAAAGAAAATTGCTGCAATATTTTAGAAAATAGCGAACTTTAAAATAGCTCTATTGGAGATTCTGAATGAGCTGCATACATGCATTTTTTTTTTTCTCAATCAATACATCCTGTTTGTTTTGCAAAAATTGTCTATTTTGTCATGTTATGCTCTTGGATTTTTGAAGAAAATAAAGTTAGTTTTTTCTGTTACAGTTCTGAATCTGAAGTTTGTTCATGTGAATGAAATTTAATATTTTAAAGTGGATTAATTAAAAAAATTCCAATTAATCAGAAAAATCCGGACTTTTGTGACTTTTTCATAAAAGTCATGACTTATCGGATCGGCTTCTTTTTCATTTTGTTCCGAAGTGATTATTCGAAAAATACTCTCTTCGAAGAAGGGACATTTAGACCGGGTAAGGTTAGATATTTCAGAAAAAGTTGTCTCAAGATATGATCCTTCCTCACGATTTTGTTGCGTTTCGTATGGAAATTCTGTGGATCAATAATGAGAGCACTGAGGAAAATTATTGCAATTTTTCCATTTCTTGGAGCGCACGAAAGGAAATTCCTATAATGTTCATGGAACATCGCCCGTACCTGGGGAGGACAGGCAGAGGAGGTAGGTGTTGGAATTTTTCTCGAACTTTCGGAGTTTATAAGTTCTTGGGAATACTTACATCGGCAAAGAATCCCAAAGCTTCGTCGTTCTATTATAGAACGTCTATAATAGACGAACCAGTTTTGGTAGAGTGTTGTTCGACATTTTTCAAGGTTATCGACGAAGGGATGTGCTAGCTGAGCATATCGAGTTCGTCTGACTGGTATAGCTAGTGATGGAATTATAGAGGTGATTTCTGAGGAATATTTTCAATGGAAGTATCCATAGAAACGTGAAAGTTCGCCGACTTTTCTATGGTGTTCTTATGAGGTCAAAGAGTTGGTGAGTCTGGCATTACCCACCAGGCGAATGGCTCTTCTCTGGATGGAATCTAAGAGGATCAGCGTATGTTTGGGTGTAGAACCCCATACATGAGAACAGTATTCTAAAACTGGCCTCATCTGTGCTTTGTAGATCATGAAAAGCTGTTTTTGTGAAGCAACCTTGGCGATGGATCGCACATGATTTTCCCAAGAGAGAGTATTGCTGATGGCTATACAATTGAAACATGTCAAAAAACAGTTTGATATGAATACAGTTAAAAAAAAGCGATCGTGTGAATCGAGGTATCATACATGTGTCATAAGATGGACAAGTTCTTGGAATGGCTATGGAATGCTTTCGACAATTCACAATTCTTTGTTTCTTCAACTATTTCTGAAAAGTGAGTGAAATATAGATAACGTTCAGTAGAATGATAGCAATTACAACATGAACAATGTCAATTAAGTTCGAAAAAAAACGGTCTACACATCTGTCACCATCACATACATAATATTATCATGCCATCGTACTACTCATAATGAAATAACAGAAATAATGAAGTATAGCATGGGCTGAGTGTATATTTCTTTGTGGATACCGCTCTGTAATAGTCAACAACATTCCAACAATTCCTCGAGGCCAGGAAAGTTGTTCTGCAAAAATAACAGAAACCATCCAACTACACACGTGCGATTCTTTGGAAACTGATACTAGACCCGAGTAGTGACTGGAATGCCATGAACAGATTCTGGCCAGGATGCTCCAAGGGAGAACAAATTTCAACAAGTGATGAGATCAATACTAGAAGGATTTAAAAATTGAAAGAGTGCAAAAAATGCTTCCATAAGAGCTTCCATACTTGTACACTAACAAGTGAGGTACGTAGTTTTTGAAAGGTATCAGATTAGTATAGTTGTAGTTTTCATTAGGTATTAGATTAGTATAGAGGTCAGATAATTTATACGACGCTATAAAAGCAGATGATATTTTATCATTGCTCATGTAAGATGGAAGTAGAGGCCATGGCACCATAATCATGAGCATATTTTTATATTGAAACTATCATTGGGCACCAAAGATGTGTATACGACGCTATAAAAGTTCAGAGAACTGGAGATTTTTCCCACAAACTACGTACTTAGCCCACTCGACTACCCTATGGGTCGTTCAAATTTGTTTTCATATTTTTTACTTTATTTCCTGTACTATTGTGTTTACAGAAAAAATTATGGGTAATAATTTGTAGGAAATGTTCCAGTGGATAAGTTTGCGCTTCTGTAAATTTTCGATTTTTCCATTTGTTTTCGATATATATTGAATTGAAAGGATTTAAAATTTTGATGTATTGATTTTCATTTCTTTTTCCATTTTCCGATGGATGCACGAAAAAATGGTAATATAATAATTTGTTGCGTCATGAAAGAGGCATACGGTGCATTTTTCAAATTTGGATTTAGTCTATTGGTTCAGGAGATATGTCGTTTTAAAGCGAACCGTGTGTTTCGGAAAATCTCCTCGAAAAACCTACTTGGAATTTTCCGACCCTGCTGGATTTCAATAAGCTTCGTCTCTCCCTGATAGAGTTTTTTTTTTCACAAAGAATGAAATCGATCGTACCACTTTTGCGATTTGTAGAGTGGTTACAAGAAACTTCCGGTTAAAAATAGAAAAAACCCGGAAAAACCACCTTAGAGTTTTCCAATTTCCTTCATATTTTAATGATATGATATTTTTTTGAGTACAATAAGATGGCGAAATTTCAAGTCGATATGTTAAAGGGTTCCGGAGATATATCGATT